CACAATAAAGTCTAGGTAGGGATGAGCTTGCAGACATCAAACATTGCTGCAGTAAAATACTTACATTAAAATCATTAGAGATGTCAATATATATGGCCACAAACAGTAATGGAATATTTTAAGAACAACTCTAGATCAGAGAAAAAGTTAGAAAAAGAACTTGCTTAATGTAATTTGTCATATTTCCTTGGTGGATTTATATTTTGCTTTGTTTTTGAAGAATAAACTTTCTTTTCCAACATCTATGATGTGCTTTCCAAAATGGACATAAAAGGCTGTATTATTATAGCTAAAAAGGGATTCTCTTCAAGATGCAGTAACCCCATTTCCACTAGGCCCTCTTTCCTGCCCCTGAGAAATCCTGGACATGACACAACAGATAAGGATGGGAAGTTCTCTGAAAGTTAGAAACTAGCAGGCAGATTCCTGAGGCAGATCTCAGGAATGGAGGAAGGACGTGGTGAGCTCCTGAATTCCCTGTTGCCACCCATAAATCCCAGACAGAGGTCTGTAGAAGCTTCCATGTAGAACAACTGACAGACAGACAAACAGACACACACACACACACACACAAAACCTCCAAGATAAACCTGTTCTCTCTAGCCACCAGGCCACAGAAGCCTAACCACAGAAAACCTTTGGCTGAACCTACTCTAGTCAAGTCAAGCCGCAGTGGGAGAACCACACCGACCCCTGTGGCTTCAGTGTGGTGGGCAGGCAGTGGGCCTTCCACCACACCCAAGGGAGCAGCAGGCAATGACATGGGTGGGCCTGAGCAGAACCTACTCCTTTCATCCCTCTTCCTGGCAGAAGCAGGCAGAGCTCTGATTACCTGCATGGGTGGTGTGGGCAGGCTGAGCAGGGAGCTGGTCCTCCATAAGTTGGCCTGGGGGGAAGCAGGTGGAGCTCTGGTTCTCCCCAAGATAGTGCCATGTCACATATAATTAACATTATATGTTAATTTAAAAAAATTTTTAAAAACCAGTCTCAGGAACTTGTGTACAGACAACAAAAGAGCTGATCTTTGTATTATCAAAGCTCTGGAAGGAGAGGAGTCAGAGTGGGGCCAAAAAAGTACTCTTGGAAATAAGGCCAGAAACTTCCTAAATTCAGGGAAGTTGGACATCTATAGCCTCAGGAGGCTGAAAAATCCACCAAATGTGATAAACCAAAGAAATCCATGGCAGGACCGATCATAATGTGTCTGAAAACTGAAGACAGAGGACAACTCTTGAAAGTAGCCAGAGAGAAAAAACACGGGATTCATAGAGGAACGACCTGAATGACTATGGGTTTCTCATCTGAAATCATGGGGGAGAGAAGAAAGTGACAAAACATTTTTGAATGCTGAAAGAAAAGAACTGTCAGGGGTACCTGCGTGGCTCAGTCATGAAGCAACTGCCTTCGACTCGGGGTCATGATTCCAGGACCCTGGGATTGAGCTGCAGATGGGGAATCCCTGCTCAGTGGGGAGCCTGCTTCTCCTGCTCCCACTCTGCCTGCTTGTATTCCCTCTCTTGCTGTCTCTCCCTCTCTGTCAAATAAATAAATAAAATCTTTAAAAAGAAAAAAGAAAGAACTGTCAACTGCAAATTCTATACCCAGCAAAAATATCCTTTGGGAATTACGAGAAAAAGTTTTTCTTCACTCCCAAGTGAAGAAAAACTAAGACTTGGTGACTAGCAGCCCCACCCTTAAAGAATAGCAAAAGAAAGTTCTCTAAACAAGGAAATGATAACAGAAGGAGGCTTGGAACTTCAGCAAAAAGAACATCAAAATGGATGAAAATTGGGGTAAATATGATAGACTCATTAAGAAACTCTCATAAGTTTCTTCAATCATATTTGACTTTTGAAGCCACAATTATAACACCATCTGATGTAGTGCTCAAAATTCAAGAGTTATATTTTTAAAATGAGGAGGCTAAGGAATGGTTTACACTTTACTTGAAGTGACAAAACATTGATTCAAGGAGACCTTGGTAAGTTATAGACATATTGTGTTAATACCTACAGCAACCACTAAAGAAGCCATACAAAGCAACCTTTTAAAAAACATTATAAACAAATCAAGATGGAATTTTGAAAATGCTCAAGTAACTCACCAAAAATAAGAGAAACAGAAGATTGAGAAACAGAGGAAACAAACAAAAAACAAATAAAATGACTGAGAAACTCTGACATCCATAATTGTCTTAAATGCAAATGATCTAAATATACCAGTTAAAAGCATGGATTAACAGAGTAGATTTAAAAAATGTTCTGACAATATGCTACCTACAAGAAACTTACTTCAATGAAACATAGGTAGATTAATAATAAAAGGACAGAAAAGGATATACTTGCAAATATTAATTAAAAAAAAAAACCAGCTGGGTGGCTGGCTGCCTCAATCGATAGAGGATGTGACTCTTGATCTCAGGGTTGTGAGTTCAATCCTCACATTGGGTTTGGAGCCTACCTTAAAAAAAAAGTACGAGTGGCTCTATTAATATTAGATAAAACAGATTTCAGAGCAGAGAAAATTACTAGAGACAGAGACATGACCTTATGATAAAAGGTTTAGTGCACCAGTGAGACATAATGGTTCCAAATAGAAACACGTCAAAAAATAGCTCAAAATACATGAAGCAAAAACCGGTGAGAGTTAAAATAGAACCTAACAAATCCACAATTATAGTTGGGGTTTTCAACATCCCGTCTTAGCAACTGACAGGACAACTAGCCAAAAACTCAACAAGGACATCAACAAGTGAACAATAAAATCAACCAACAGGATCTAGTTGATGTGTATGAAGGAACTCTGTACCCAACAATAGCAAATTCATGGTTTTTCCAGACGTGCCTGGAGCGTTCACCAGGGATGGACCATATTCTGGATCATAAAACAAACCTCAAAAAACCTAGAAGAACTGAGATCACACAGAGTATATTTTCTGACTATAATGGAATCAGATTGGATGTCAGTAGCAGAGAGGAGAAAATTATTCAAAGACTCTGAAATTAAACAATTTCCAAATAATCCAAAGAGAAAGTCTCAAAGGGAATATAAAAATACAGAGAACTGAATGAAAATGAAAATTCAGTGTATCAAAATATGTGCCACACAGCTGAAGCCATATTATTAAGACGTCAGTTCTCCCCAAATTGACCCACAGAGCCAATACAATTAAAAATACCAGTGGTCTCTTTGGAAGGAATTGACAAACTGTTTCTAAAACCTATCCGAACAACCTAACCACATACAATAACCAAAACAATTTTGGAGAGAGTGAGAACAGAGTCCAGAAAGGGACCCACCAAAAAGAGTTAACTGTTTTTTGAAAGATGCTGAGATGGAAAAAGGGAGATTTTTTTCAAGAAATGGTGCTGGAAAAAATGGATAGCCACATGAGGAAAATGAACATTGATCCTCACCCTCCCATCACATAAATTCACTTCAAAGGGACCACAGCCCTAATGTAAAATGTAAAGTAAAACCTAAAATCTTAAAATTTCTAAAAAAAAAAAAAAAAAACAGAGAAGGGAATATTTGTGCACTTGACATAGGCAAAGTTTACTTCAATAAAAGATTTAAAAAAAAAGAACCACACAAGAAATTGGGATGAATTGAACATCAAAATTTAAAATTTTTCTTCTTGAATGGCACCACTCAAGAGAGAATTCAAAATGTACAGTATAGTGACTATGGTTAACAATAGTAATATTGTATATTGAAACTTGCCAGCAGGGATCTTATCACAAGAGAAAAAAATTGTAACTGTGTGTGATGGACACAACTGTTAACTAAACTTGCTGTGGTTATCATTTTGCAATATATACATGTACACATGTATCAAATCATTCTGCTGTACTTCCAAAATGAATAAGGTGTTCTACGTCAATTGTGTCTCAATTTTAAAAAGAGACTAAAAAGACAAGGCAGAGACGTACAGAGTATTTGCAACTCACATATCAAAGGACTTGAATCCAAAATATATTTTTAAAAATCTTAAAAATCAGAAGATAAACATTCCGATTTAAAAATGGTTGAAGGACATGGGCGCCTGGGTGGCTCAGTGGGTTAAAGCCTCTGCCTTTGGCTCAGGTCATAATTTCAGGGTCCTGGGATCAATCCCTGCATCCAGCTCTTTGCTCCCCAGGGAGCCTGCTTCCTCCTCCCTCTCCGCCTACTTGTGATCTCTGTCTGTCAAATAAATAAATAAAATCTTTAAAAAAAAATAGATGAAGGACTTGAAGAGACACTTTACAAAAGAAGATATACGGGTGGCCATGAAGCACATGAAAAGGTGCTCAAAATCATTAGTCATCAGGGAAATGCAGATTAAGGCTGCAATGGTTCCACTACTTACCCATTAGAATATCTAAAATCTAAAAAACTGAGCTTGTCAAACGTTGGTGAAGATTTGGAGCAAAGGGAGAGATTCCGTACATGCCAGAGGGGAAAGTAAATGGCACAGCTATCTTGAAAACACATTGTCATTTTCCTTAAAGTTAAGCATATACCTACTGTACATCCCATCTGTCCCAAACCTAAGAGAAACGAAGTATGTCCACACGAAGACTTACAATCCATATTCATGACAGTATTACAATTCATTCCAGAGTATCTACAAACATATTAAAAATATATAATATTGTATTTTGCTGGAGATCACACATAAAAGGAAGGGAACAAAGATATCCATCAACTCAGGTTAATTACTACCTCAGAGGGTAAAAGGAGGAGAAGGAAGGGGTGAAGTCCTTAATGGTACCCATTAACATTTATTTCTGTGAAAAAGCAGAAAACTATCTGAAATAAATACAGCAAACCACATTTAAAAATTGTTAAATTTAGGTGATACATGCCTGTTTTACTCTTTTCTGTATATATGTGAAATATTTTATAATTTAAAAATTGAGTTGCTCTAAGAAAGACATTGTTTTTCTCTTCCAAATATTAAACTTATGGTACATTTTCCCCTTAAAATGGCTAATAGAGAAAATCAAAACACTTACCTGATCTTAAAAAGGTTTTGTATTCTGTAGTTTCATATTTGTCAGGCATTTCAAATCTTACACGCAGTCTCGGTATTTGCTTGGGGTCCCGGGTAATTTGCTGTTGCAATTTTTTTCCAAGGGACCAAATGAATGCAGGCCCCTGGTTTTTCTTCTCCAAGCTGCTTACATGATTATGGTGAATATATACATACAACAGAGCTGTCCAGATCCCAAATATCAAGGATCCGTAGAATAAACATTGAAATGTGACGCCTCTCATTGTAAACCTAGAATTTCTGAAGGTCCATTTTTAAATTTCCTACATCAGAAGAATTTAAGAGAGACTATATTAGAGATCTCAGTGATTTCCAGATCATCTACTTGGCTTAAATTCAATTTTCAGTGTTTTAAGAACAAGATCATTTTAATATGCATTTATCCATATACTCGGATGAGATAAAAGTATATCTTATTTTCTATTAGCAAAAACTCTTAAAACTGATATTCAGAAGGTTGCTTAACAGCAAAATGTATAACATGCTTACAAAACATGCACTTATTTAAAGTAACTGGCACACACTCCTAAGCCTTCAGCTAAAGGAAATACATACAGTGAAAGCAGGTTTACTCATCCCTTATTCATGCTCAGTCCATCTTGGAGTTTTAAATCTCTCTTTTAAAAATCTGACTCGATATCAACTTAAAACAAAACAACACAAAACCGCATGGTTCACATGCTGGAAGGAAAGTGGACAATGGTAACTGGTCCAGCACTGACGGGACTGTGAAATGGTACCACCATTTTTTTTAAAGATTTTATTTATTTATTTGACAGACAGAGATCACAAGTAGGCAGAGAGACAGGCAGAGAGAGAGAGATGGAAGCAGGCTCTCCGCCGAGCAGAGAGCCCGATGCGGGGCTCGATCCCAGGACCCTGGGACCACGACCTGAGCCGAAGGCAGAGGCTTTAACCCACTGAGCCACCCAGGTGCCCCAATGGTACCACCATTTTGACAGTTACCTGATTCAGGGGAATTTACACAAATAGTGTGCTGACACATTTCTATCCCTAAGAACATGCCTTGAAGAGACTCTCACACGTATCAGGAGATACGTGCAAGAATGTTTACTGCATGGGATGCCTGGGTGGCTCAGTCCATTAAGCGTCTGCATTGGGCTCAGGTCATGATCCCAGGATACTGGGATCCAGCCCCCTGTTGGGCTCCCTGCACAGCGGGAAGCCTGCTTCTCCCTCTGCCTCTCCCCCTGCTGGTACGCTGTCTTGTACCAATAAATAAATAAAATCTTCAGAAAAAATAATGTTTACTGCAGTAATGTTTGTAGTAGAAACCACAAGCAACTCAAGTTTCCCTCAATAGGAGAATAATAAAGTGAACTGTTCCCTGAACACAGCAAACAGATCCACTGGGGCCACATGTATCAATATTGGAAACACCATAATGTTGCACAGAAAACCAAGCAGGGTGTGATGCTACCAAGATGTATATGGGAAACATGGAAACCAGCCCAATTGCTTAGGGATACACCTGGAGGCAGCAAATGTTGGGGAAAACCCATGTGCAAGCGGTCCTCCAAGTTTAGGATGGGATTACTCCTATGGGGGAGGGCACTGGGGAGGAGAGGGAAGAGCTCCTACTACGTTCTTTTTTTTTTTTTTAAGATTTTATTTATTTATTTGACAGAGATTACAAGTAGACAGAGAGAGAGAGGGAGGGGGAAGCAGGCTCACCGCTGAGCAGAGAGCCCGATGCGGGGCTTGATCCCAGGACCCTGAGATCGTGACCCGAACTGAAGACAGAGGCTTTAACCCACTGAGCCACCCAGGCACCCCTCCTACTATGTTCTTAACACTTGTGCTTTTTAATCTCTTAAGCAAATGTGGCAAAATGATAAGGTTTGATAACGTTTGATGACATATCCATGGAGCGTTCATGATATTTTTCTATTTCCCTTTTGTTGGAAATACTTCCCAATTTATCAAAAAAGAAAAGTCTTGAGCGGTTTCTTTTAGAGATGACAGACTGGAAATGTACGTCTGTGCCCTCCCCCTCTTGACTCAATTGTGAATAAAAACCAATCTTCTAATCTAAAAACTCTCCTGGGAAAAGGGTGTTAGAGGGAAGGTCCACGCACGGGAGATTTCAACATGGGTTTGAAAGACCGGACAGAAGCCACTGCATGCGAGGTAACAATGGGGAAGCGGGAGGAAGCCTGGACCCCACCGGCACAGGGAGCCGGGGAGGGGACTGGAAGTGCGGGGTGTGACAGGTGCAGGGCCGGGAGACTCTGGGGAAGGCCACGCATTTATACGCACAGCAGTCAGCTGTCTTCACCCCTCCCTGGGCCTGACTTGAAATGGCACAGGTGTCCTTGAAGAAGAGGAAGAGACACTTGGGGTGCATGTATAGGGGAAAGTCATCTGCAAGCTAAGGAGAGAGAACTCAGAGGAGCCACCTTGATGGGGAACTTCCAGCCTCCAGAATGGAGGGAAATAAATGTCTGTGGTTTAAGCATCGCCCCTTCCCCACCCCTACCCCCCGACTTCCTTACCCCCCCTCCCCTCTGTGTGTGGCATTTTGTTATAACGGCCCCAGCGGACTGATACAAATTCCAAGGACTGACCTAGGCTTTTGAAGAAACCCTCCAGTAAGACAGAAAATACACACAGAACCATAAAAGGGGAACAAATTAATGAGAGCTTTAGAAAAATCCAAACACTGATTTTGGTTGCTCACCCTCAAGAAGATACCATGCTCATAAAACCAGGGAAACAGTCTATGAAAAAGAAAACATTACAGAACAACAACAAAAGGTTGCTGAAACCTAAAACATGATTGGGAAAACTTTAAAAATATATGTAAGTTGGAAAATAGTGTGAAAGGAATATGCTGGAAGGCACAACAAAATGACATAAGGGAAAACGTAAGAAAAAATGGAGAGATGTGATATTTCATTCTTGGAGGTATAACATCTAACTAGTAAAAATGTACGAGTTCCAAAAGATGATCAGAGAAAAATGGAGGACAGGAAATCATTAAATAAATAATATATTTTCCCCGTAACTTAAAGTGCTCACAAAATGCCCAGTGCAATGAATGTAAAAATATCCTAAAAACCTCCAAGTGCAGAAAAATGGTTGACATACAGGAGTTTCAGAAGGATATCAAACTTCTCAACAGCAACACTGAGGTTTTTTTTATTCTCTTTTAAAGCTTTATTTATTTGAGAGAGAGAGAGAAAGTCTCAAGACTCCATGCTGAGTACAGTATCCAAGGCAGGTCTTGACCTCACAACCCTGAGGTGACAACCTGAGCAGAAATCAAGAGTCTGAGGCTTAACCAACTGAGCCATCCAGGTGCCCTAACACTGGGTTCTTAAAAGATTATAGAGAAGTGGCTTCAGAATTCTAAGTTAAATGGTATTTCACCTAGAATTCTTTACCTAGTCAAATTGTAATTAACCTTGAGAGAGGAATAAAGATATTTTCAGATCTGAAAAGGACTCAGAATTACACTCCACGTATTCTTTTTTGGGAGACTAATGTGGACTGCAAATGCCAACAAAACGTAGAGTAGACAAAGAAGAGATGGCCCAGGGTGGGGGATCCAACTCAGGAGGGAGGCAGAGATGGCCCCAGAGGGCTGTTGTACTGGGGGGTGGGGAGGCGCGGAGGGTGGCTGCCCACATTGGAATGGAGGCTGTAGTGAGCTCTGGCACTCCACCCTTCCCCAGAAAGAAGATGGGTCAAAAGAATATCAGATTTGATAGATGATGTGGGGCAGGGAAATGCAAGTAGATGACCTATCTGATGGTAAAACTTAAGGAATATTTGTAGAGTGATAAAGGTGTAACACACTGGCTACAGATTCATAAGGAAAATGCGATTCTAAAAAAATAGAAGTTGTGTAAGAAAAATGAAGTTGATGTGTGAAATAAGCCAAGAAGTAGAAGCTTAGGAATATTATTTAAAATATGAAGGCAACTGTCATATGAAATATATTAAAAGAGTTGAAAGTCATTGCTTTGGGGGAGTTGTACTGAGGATTAGGGTGGAAGGTGGGCAAGGGCCTGCTGACTCTAATATTTTTGTTTTTATTTTAGGCTTTACTTTTTAATGTATGCATTACTTTAACAAAAAAAATTAAAAATGGAGATTAAAACCGTACCTATCAAATGGCATCAATGCTTGTAAACAGGTGCACAGAGCAGCCACTTCTCTCCCATCCTGACCCTTTAAATCAGGTAACAGCCTGGCCCGGGGTTAGAAGGAATCAAGGATATGAGCCTCCTGAGCTGTCCAGTGTCACCCGCTTTCCAGGGCCCTCTGGCGCGGGTCCTCCTCACGCCCTCATTCTTCCAAGTGTCTTCCTGCACCTGACGCTTTTGCATTGCCATTTTCATCCCAGTTCTCTGACTGGAGGACAGAGTGCGGCCTCCACAGTTTTGACTTCATGCACTAGAACAAGCTTGCACAGGCGCTCCGGCTCCTACGGCTCTGGTTCACAGAAGAGACCACCCCCGCCCCACCGAACGCAGCACGCTCGGGAACTGCACCGCATCAAACCACCGAGGCTGCACCTGGCCGCCCAGAGACCCGAACACACCACGTGGAACGTCTTACAGTGCCGTGTGGGGCCACCACATCACCCTTGGGGCTGGGGCGCCCATTCCCCTACTGCCTGGAGTACTGGCTCTCGACCGAGTCCCTTCCCCATCCTTACCTCGGGTGGGGCAGGCTGCTTTGCGCAAGGCTCCCCTCCCGGAGGGACTCGTGTTTAAAGACGGGCTGATGGGCCCAAATGCCGTCCTGCAACTTGGGATGACGCTGAAGACCCATCCAGCCCGGAGCGCCCATGGGGCTGACAGAGCTCCTACCTGCGAGCACACCACAGTCTAGGCTCCTCCTCTTGTGAAACTAAAAGAAGGGAGTCAGAAGGGCGCAGCGGCAGCGCTCAGGGGCAGCGCTCCTGGCCCACTGCAGAGCCCACGCGAAAGGCGGCACCTTCCACGGGATTGCATTTTGTGAGCCCAGCCTGAGGAAGGAGAGTTTCCTCCTCCCCCAGAATCAGCCCAGCCAATGAGGAATCGT